GTCCATAGATACGTGAACATTCACCATAAATATCAACACTGATGTAGTTCAGAAGCTTTTTGACATACTTTTCTCGAATCCTGCCGCACCGGGAAACAGCCCACACCACAAGTTTATTTTTCTCTGCTGCATAATTGGTGAATTTTGATGGCTTTGCAGCAGATGGCAAACGAAAATAGTTGCCGAAAGGTAGATGAAAATCTGAGTCCCTTTTGAAAGTTATCGTCCAGTTAAAAAATCCTTCCGGTAATGAAATGTCAGACTCTAGCGGATCATTCATGATATTTTCCTGGCTTAGAAACGCCATTCGTTGAGTTGTGCATCGGTATTTGTGTATCGCGTGGAGTTCCTTAGTCCTGACAAATCGTGGAATATCTGGAGCGTGAAACATAATCAGATCACTTTTCCCTACATCGTCTACATTGTAGGTAATTTTACATTTCTTTGTGGGACAATCAGATAGATATAGTTTCGTGGTGGCAATGTCTGGCCATGGCTTGCGTCCAAACCAAGGGGTGTAAAATAAGATCGTCTTTGTGTCGTTATCGTGGCATCCTGCATTTCGCATCCTTGCCGTCACGTTACAAATCCAAGGCTCTAACTGTCTAAAATATGTTTCTTTCTTGAACAGTGTGATGGAGTACATCAGTAAAACAAGAAATAAACCTGCCAAGACAGTTGAGCGTATTGTCTGGTAGATTCTCAGCCTTCTGACACACATGCGGTGTTTGTTGGTCGAGTTCACAGTAAGGGATTTTAACGTCCTTCGACAGGATGATGCTTCATACAACCTCGTTCCCAGGATCTCTCTCTCCTCGGCATCATGTCGAATGTCTGCATTTCTGCGCCATTTTGAATGACGTCATATGCGCAAAGACATATGCTTTTTGAAAAAGGCATATTTTCAGACGCAGACTTTCGACTGCAGGCCAGGTATTAAAGTGTTACCATGTGTTAACAGAACAACCTTATTCAGGCTAAGAGTCTGCACCCTAGTTGGGATGGCTGGTTCGGTCGAAACCCCTAAATTAAAAAAAAAAAAATAGATAAAGGTCCGGTAACACGGGCAGCATTTTTCTTCAACTTGTCTCGCAACATTGTTGCATTGCAAGTTCCTCTGTTGCGCGTATTACCACGTTTGTGACCAACTTGTCTCGCAGCAAAATACAGTGTTGCAAGTTGAGGCAACATATTGCACAAAGTAGACTCAAGTTCTACTTTCTGCAACAAATTTTTGTTTTGCTTCTCGTATTACCACTGAAGCTACAACTTGTCTCGCAACAAATTTGAATTCAACGCTTCTAATTGGCTGTCACGAAGCGCGGGAAATAAAAAAATAACATGGCGGAGTGTGAAGACGAGCCTGAATTCGAAGTAGACCAGTAACTCTCGGAAAGTCATAAATTTGCCCTGTACAAAGACCTCGAGGGCTATCATAGTCTTTGGGACACCTCGTTTGTCCCTTCAAAACAAGCGGCAAAAAAGACAGAAGGCTTGGAAGAACTGTCGCAAAAATACAACTTTTCGCCTAGCTTCATACTGAGAGAACTTCGCTGGCACTGAAAATTAAGAATAAAATGACGGCCAGAAGTCGAAGTGGATGTTCGTCGAAACGCTAAATTATATGGAAGAAGGAGCCATCTCCATATATTTACACACGATTGACCAATTATACGTGTAGAATTGCGCAGACTTGCAACACTATACTTTGCTGCGAGACAAGTTGGTCACAAACGTGGTAATACGTGCAACAGAGGTTTTCAACTTGCAATGCAACAAGTTGCGAGACAAGTTGAAGAAAAATGTTGCCTGTATTACCGGACCTTAAATAAAACGTAACATGCTAACTTGGCCTCAGAATGACGGAAATCTCATTTCCAAGGACCACAATTTCAAAAACTTTCCAGGGGAGAATGCCACCGGTACCCGGCCCTACAGGGGACCGCCTTTAGCAGTCCGTATCTCGAAACCCCTTCTCTGTATCCGCCCCAGGGTTAGCCTGAATATATTCTCCAGTTAGCCTCTTTAAGGTTAGCTCTCGATAAAATACGATTCAGTTATAACAATGTCTGCAGTATGTATTTTACCCTCCATTTGCAGTCTGCAGTGCACAGTCTGCGTTTAACACTGACCGAATTCCGATGCACCTACAATTAGCCTTCACAGAAACGAATGTTCCCCCAGTTAGTGGAACAAGAACCCCTTTTGATGGATTGCTCTTTTCGTTAACACAACAGAGAAATGTTTGCAATAACGAAGCCCACAGCTGAGGGGAAAGCTGCTTAGCCAAGGAACAAGAATTGTAGTAAGTACGAAGTAGCATAAGCCCTAAAATATCAAACACGGGCTAAAATAAACAAAGAGCAATTTATTTCAGTTATCCTTCAAACTGTATTACATGTACAATACAACTTTCCACAATGCCATATCAAACCGCTATAAGCAAACTACAAATTTTCAGCTCATGGCAGTACATGGCATGTACTAAAGCTGCAAAACAAGGTACGAATGAATACAAGCGAAAGACGGAACAAATTTGGGCATTAGTGTGTACTATTTACGAATTCGTCCTCCACTTCATTCTTCAGGCAACGAGGCAGAAGTCCGATGAACAAATAGCATTTAAAAATTCTCATCAGCACGAAAAAAAGTAATATTTTATAAACTTAAGCTTATGTTCCGGCGTAAAAATAAACAAGCTACNACAATGACGTGTTCGTTTTTGATTCGTTGTCCGCCATTTTGAAACTGGAAAGGCGGGAAGACGAACCGAAATCTACAGCACATGAGCAGCGGTTTTTCCGCGGTCGGTGACGTGTGCTAAAATTGGAGAGCGAAGCTCACAAATATGAAAAGAATCAGCAAACGGAAGACACTGGCAATTTTGGTTAGCTTAATTCTTCTTTTACTACTCTATCTCATCATCAAGTTCCAATATGAAAAGAATTTTCCACATTTCGAGCCTTGGAATTGCACTAACGCTACCGAGTCTGAACTGATGTCAAATGTTGAGTGCCATAATAACAACACAAAGATCATCTTGTTTTACACACCTTGGTTTGGACTGAAACCGTGGCCAGCCGATTTCGCTTCCACAGATCTGTTTCACGCCAACTGCCCAGAATGGAAATGTAAAATTACCTACAACTTTTACGATATGGGAAAGAGTGATCTGATTATTTTTCACGCTCCAGATATGCCACGATTCGTCAGTCCCAAAGAACTTCAAC